CACTCGTTCATTAGCATAGTCAAGGTCGTCGTTTCCCCTGGTTGTCCCCCCCCCATTTCCTTTCCTTTCTATTCACTCCCCCACCCCCATGAAAACAAATCTGACCCCACCCTTTGTGTCCCCTCGTCCCTCCCCCCCCTTTCCCTTCCCTTCCCCTCCCCTATTTCTCTTTGTAATTTCCTACCCCCTCCCCGTCTTTTCTTCATATTTGCTCTTATTTTTGTGTTGCTTCTCCCCTCCTCCTCTTCTCCCACCTTCCCCCCCTTTCCCCCTCCTCCCCTCCCCCCTAACCCTCCTTCTTCCCCTATCCCTCCTTCTCCCTCCTCCCCATCTCCCACCTTTCCCCCTCCTCCCCTCCCCCTAACCCTCCTTCTCCCCTCCTCCCCATCTCCCACCTTTCCCCCTCCTCCCCTCCCCCTAACCCTCCTTCTCCCCTCCTCCCCATCTCCCACCTTTCCCCTCCTCCCCTCCCCCTAACCCTCCTTCTCCCCTCCTCCCCATCTCCCACCTTTCCCCCTCCCTCCTCCCCTACCCCTCCTTCTCCCCCTCCCCCCCATCCATCTTTCCTCCCACCCCACCCCCTATCCCTCCTCCCCCTCCTCCCCAGCCCGATATTTCCCCCGGTGTCCCTCGCATAACACCCCCCCCCCCCAGGCCTTTGACCCTTGTCAGTCTATCTCACTGTTTCAGGGTTAAAGCTTTTTGAAAACTTATTGTCCTTTTCTCCTTCTGAAAGGGAAAGATTTAAATCAAAGTCTGCAAGTTCGCTTCGGTTGTGATAAGGAATGATCTTCAAAATTAAGTGTAAAAAAATATTTCAATGTGAAAGCGCATTTGTAATTTCACCTTTGAGAGAGGAGAAGAAAAAGAAAGAAGGATAAAAAAAAACTTGATCGTAAAATATATAATAGTATTTAGAAGATACATAAAAAAAATCAAATACAAACAAACCAATGTGCTACCAGGCAAAACCAGAGAAAGATATACTCTAAAAACGAAAAAAAGGAAGAAAGAACAGAAAAACATGGACCTGACATCTTTTTTTTCTCTCTCTCTCACAAAAGCTCAACTCGCTCCTGCCCTGCCCTGCTGCGGCGCTAGTTGCCACGCGGTGTATAACTACTTGTCACTCACAGCTGCTAAGCCAGAACAAAATACAATTCCCTCTTTTAATTTTGTCTCAAGCTGTATTCCCCTTCCTATTTCTTAAGGTGTATACCCTCGCTTCTGTTCTTGTATCTTATCGGATTGATGCGGATTCATCTCGCGATTATCAGCCTTGTATCTCCTCGGGTCGGTGCGGATTTTTCAGACGATTATCGTTCTTGTACCTCTTCGAAATGATGCGAATTCATCTAGCAATCATCGTTCTTGCATCTTCTCGGATTGATGTGGATTCATCGAGTGATTACCGTTCTCGTATCTTTCCGAATGGATGAGGATTCATCTAGCGATTATCGTTCTTGTATCTCCAGATTGCTGCCGATTCATCTAGCATTCCTCATGAAACATTCAGGAAAACCCCGCGGTTGCCATGTAGCGAGGCGAACGTAGATACGTATTTGTGTGTAAATATTATCAGAGCTGGAAGTCTCCTGAACGACTCGAGCTGAAATATTACTCAGATAAATGTTGCACCGCGTCTCGAGTGGCCGGGTCTCCTTCGGGCGTCGTAGCCGAGCGACCTCTTCGGGCTACGACAAATTCTACGTGTTGTACAGAAGTGTCACACGTGCAGTGTAGTGTAATCATGATAGTAGGAATTTTGTACTATGTTAAAAGAGAGAGAAATAAAAAAAAAATAGATTAAAAAAATATACAGAGAGAACATTTTTGTAAGTTACACACGTGCGCACAATGTTTATAATGCCATGATATCATCCCATTGATACGTAAACTATAGACCTATCTCTACTTTTAAAGCATCATATGCAGGATATGAAATGTCATGCTCTTTCTGCTTCTATTGCCTGAGGGAGGGCAGGTAAAGTGACTTTGCTGCTCACACACAGTCTGTCAACAATCCATTTCTCTTCCATTTGACGATAAACATTATATTCAGATATTAACTTAATCTTATCAACTTGCCTGTTGAAGACTGGAGTGTAATCCCCGTCTCTCAGAGAGCATGTCGTCGGCGACGGAATATAAATGAAACGAATAACAAAATTATATACTGACATATAGATGCATACATATAAATGTGCACACGCCCACACACACACACACAGACACACACACACACACACACACACACATATATATATACATATATGTATATATACATATATATATATATATATATATATATATATATATATATATATATATATATATATATATATATATATATATATATATATATATATATATATATATATATATATATATATAATATATATATATATATATATATTATATATATATATATATATATATATATATATACTACACACACATATATATATATATATTGTATATATATATATATATATATATA